CGAAAGGTAGATTGGCGATGACAGAACTCGATCTGCAGAGCTTCTCCTGGGTGGTTTGCTGCGGCTTCGTAGGGAACTCGAAAAACAGGATACTTCGAGTACGCTTGCGGCCAATGGCGCACGTCAGGGGGATCAGCGGGTGCCTTCGCTGTATGTGTAGGAGGTTCCGGCTCTGGGTTGGGTTCCTGCGGCGCAGGGGAACGCGCAGACTGCGCGCTGTGTTATCGAGGGCGGCGCGGACGAATTCCGGCAAGCTCGCGATAGTTGGGAGGAGGACCGCGAGAGCGGGAAGCCGCGCTCGCTTCTCCTGTTGCGAGCATCAGCGGTGCCGATGGTGTGTCGTGCGAGCAGGTGTTAGAGAGCCCGCCTGCCGCTCTGTTCCGCAGCCCAACTTGATTGCGTGCTCCCTGAACATACGTGATGTGCAAATCCGGGAACTCCGCAAGGAAGTCTAGCCACCGGGCGGTGCGTCCGCGCAGAGGCTTCGATGGTTGGAGTCGTTGGAGATGGGTTAGAGCTTGATGATCAGTGAAAGCGGTCACCTTGGAGACACGGAGCAAGTGCGACCACTTGTCCAGCGCCGTGACCAGCGCCAAGAGTTCCTGATCGTAGATCGAGTATCTCTGTTGCGTGGGGTTCATGACTTGACTGAGGAAGCCGATGGGTTTAGGGTCTTGTTCAAGAACTGCTCCGACTGCGTAACCAGAGGCATCTGTGTATAACTCGAAGGGCTTCGTCGTGTCAGGGACCTGTAAGGTAGTGAAGTCGATTAAGTGCTGTTTGAGCTGCCGCACCGCTTGCGTGTGAAGCTCTGTCCATTTGAAACCGACGTCTTTACGCGTTAGATCAACCAGCGGCCGGGCAACGTCGGCATAGTCTGGTCCCATGAACATGCGACAGTAATTTATAGTACCGAGGAACTGGCGCACTTGCGTTTCGTTCTCCAGCACTTCTGGCCAATGTCGGATGGCTTCTATTTTGTCTTCTGCGGGTTTGACCCCCGTAGCAGATACAGTATAACCCAAATAAGTAATGGTTTGCCGTGCAAACTTACACTTGCGGAATTTTGGGTAGAACTGATGTCGAAGAAAAATACTTAGGACTTGTCGCAGAAGAGAGACGTGCTCAGAGAGATCAGAACTATAGATAAGTACATCATCCAGGTACGCAATAACGCCCTTCCCCAATAAGGGTTGTAAATAGGCATTAATATTGGCCTGGAACGTAGCGGGAGCTCCCTTAAGGCCGAAGGGCATCACGCGGTACTCGAATATCCCGAGAACGGACCGGAAAGCCGTCTTCCACCGGTGTTCCTTAGCCACACGTATTTGATGGAATCCTGCTTTCAGGTCCAAGGTGGAAAAATACTTGGCGCCTCCGAGCAGCTCCAGAATGGTTTGAATGGGAGGTCGTGGAAAATCAGGAGCTATCGTAAGGGCATTTAAAGCTTGGTAATTGACAACCATCCGCATCTTCCGCTCCCCGGAGCCATCATCGCGTTTGTCCACCATGATCGTAGGAGAGCAAATAGGCGAGTAGGTCGGTCCGATCCAACCATATTCCGATAATTTGGCTATCTCCTGCCTGTGGAAAGTGAGCTGATCCGGGGTCATACGGTAGATTGCAGATCTCGCTGGGAGTTTTCCAGGCACCAGGAGAATATGATGATCATCAGGGCGCTTCGGAGGTAAGCCTTTAGGTAAGGTATCGGGGAAAACCGCCCTATACTCGTGCAGCACCTGAGCAACCTCACTTGGAATATCCTGCGCCTCAGTTGAATTGATCCATTCGTCGAATAGAGTGTGCTCGAGTTA